CGGGGGGGCGGGGGGAGCAGGAAGTCGCGCCGCCAAGGGGCCTAGATAGGAAGAGGGGTGTAGAGGCTGGGTGGTCGGAGGCAGCAAGCTTTATACTCGTGAACAGGAAAAGCAACGAGGGAGGGGTGACGCTTCGTAGCGGAGTAGGCCACGCAATTTGGAAGAGCAAAACTGTGACGGGTTCTCATCTCATCACGTCCATCATGATGCACGCGGAATAAGTTGGGCGATGGATGACCGATGAGGCGACTTGGTCGTACACAACTCGGCCTACGTGAACGTTAGGCCAATTGGTCCTGCGGTTGAATGATACGTGCGAACGCACAGCCTGAGACGGGAATGGGTGCGGCGGTGAGTGATGCATGGCCCCCCCCCCCCCCCCCCCCGCCCCCGCCCCCCGTGATGATGACGCCCCTCCTCGTCGCCGCGCTGCTCGCGGCCGTGTCCCTCGCCGCCGCGGCCGAAGTCCCTCTGTTCACGCAGGAGGGCTGCAGCAACCTCCCGACGCTGGTGTGCACCGTCCAGCCCACGGACGGCTACTCCGTGGAGGGCGTGGTCTACTTCACGCCCGCGTGGCGCCGCCGCGGCGTCGGCGAGCAGCCGGACCTGTTCACGTGCTACGTGCGCATCATGGCCGCCGTCGCGGGCCTGACTAATCCGCAACACGGCTTCCATGTGCACACATACGGCGACGTCAGCGTCAGCGATGGCTCGTCCACCGGCGGACACTTCACCAACGTCGCGGGCGACGAGATCGAGCACGGACTTCCTGACGACGAGATCCGCCACTGGGGAGATCTGGGAAACCTCATCAATGATGGAAAGGGCAACGCCGAGTATGACCGCGTCGACAAGGTTGTGCGCTTGGGCGCCCTCGTGGGGAGGGGCATTACCATTCATGAAGATCAAGACGCAGGGAGTAGCGAGCAGCCGACGGGCGCTTCGGGCACTCGCATTGGCTTCTGCGTCATCGGTTACGCTAACCCTGAGGTCATCGCCTCGGCCTCACGGTAACTCACACGCATCGGGGCTTCGGTTGTAGGCCCGGCGCCGCTTTCCGTCCGCGCTTTGCCTGTCTTTTGCAAACAAACAGATACACACAGTTGCCTCTGTAGGCGTCCGCTTTTCGCCTCTTGTTGCCTTTTTGCCCTCTTGTACATCCGATAAAGAGTATGCCCTATTTCATTTTCACACCCCTTATTTCTGTGCCTGGTTGTGGCCAGCAACGCGCGGCCTGCCTTTTGCTAGTC